TGCAGAGAGAAAATATAATCTTGGAAATATGTTAGCCAACTCCTTAGACTCCCTCCACTTATCCCTCCAAAAGCTTACACTTCCACTCTCACCTACTACGATTCGAACCCTTCAAATAGCCATCTATTTTTGCTTTGATCTACTACATCTATCTAATCTACATACATGTTGCCACCAACTCAATCTTCCCCCCTACCCTCTCTAACCTAATTTTCCCAATTATCATCTCCACCACCATATTTTTCCTTGATAACTGATAACCATAAACTTTACCTACCAAGTAAAGACTGAATAAAAAGTCAATGGTCTTTTATGCCTAACCCTGCCCCCCTCATTTTTACTTTGGCAATCCCTCTTCCAATTAACCTAATGAACTTTTTTCCTTTCCCCAAACCCCCCCCCCCATAACAAATCACTCATAATTTTATCAATTATTTTACAATACCTTTAGGGACGACGTAGATGGACATAAGGAAAACAAGGAGAGACGAAAGCACAGGACAAAGCAACATGATTCGTCCACCAAAAGACAGCCATCTTCTTTTCCAACTAGCCAATTTTTTCTAGAATAGCTCAATCAATGGTCACCACATTTCCAATTTCCTTTGATTTCCCCTAGTCATCACCCCAAGATATTTGAAGGGCAGGTAACCAATCTTGCAATGTAGCAAACAAGCCATTTTGTCAAGCCATTCCTCCTCAACATTCATTCCAATTAAAGGACTTTTGATGAAATTAATTTTGAGGCCTGAAACAAGCTCAAATAACCTCATATTGCACTTAGCAGCTACATGTTATTCTCTGTATCTTTCTCGAACACAATGGTATCATTTGCAAATTGGATATGAGAAAATCTCACACCATTATGCCCTACCTTAATTCCTTCAAACAAACATTTTTCAACTGCTAGTTTTATAATTCCATTAAAGCCTTCAGCAACCACAAGAAACAAGAATGGAGACAAAGGGTCTCCTTGTTTTAATCCTTTAGACGCCTTAAACTATCTAGAAGGGCTCCCATTAACCAAAACTAATAGCAAACTTGTTCGCAAACATTCATGAATCCAACCTCTCCACTTGTCTCCAAACCCCAACCTCATCAACATGTAGGCTAAGAAACTCCACAAACCTTATCATATGCTTTTTCAAAATCAACTTTTAGTAGGAAATTGTCTTCTTCTTTTTCTTTTTTTTTTCTTCTTAACTTCATCAATAATCTCGCTTACAAGAACCACCACTTCAAATAACTATCTTCCTTCTAGAAAAGCCATATGTTGCTCACCTATCACCTTAGTAAGCACCACTCTAATTCTGTTTGCTAAAATCTTGATAATGATTTTGTACATTGCCCTAATCAATGATATCGGCCTATATTCTTCAATTTTTTGAATATTAGAAACCTTTGGAATTAAGGTGATAAAGGAAACATTTGCCCCTCTAATAAGTTTTCCATTCTTCAGAAAATTTATTTGAAATATTAATTAAAATTAATGAAAATATACAAAAAAATTAATTAAAAATAATAAAATTTCAATTTTGGATAAGTTGTTATTGTATAAAAAGATAGATTTTTCTATCTTATACTGTAATGATGTAATAAATATATTTTTTATAATTAATTTTTATTAAAAATATAAATGTTAACTTTGATTTAATCAATTAACTAATAAAAATCATTTACCTGTCAGCAATATTAAAATACATATCAATTTTTATAATTTTTAATATAAATTAATTATAAAAAATATATTTATTACATTCTTAAACACAATCGCTAGCTACTTCCCGACTTCCCAACACAAATAAATCTCGACGACGGGGAAAATCGACGCCTTCCACCGATTCGACGTCATGCCGGAGGTCTCCGACGACCACACATTCCTCAACAGCCGCTCCTTTCACGCCACGAGTGCAGTCACAAGAAGATAGTGCAAGAATGGAAGATCCTCAAGAATCGCCTTCCAGATTCGATGTTCGTTCGCGTCTATATATGAAAATCGTATAGATCTAATGAGAGTAGCGATCGTTGGCGCAGCTGGGACACCGTACCACGACGGGCTCTTCTCCTTCGACAGAGCATCCCCGTCCGACTACCCGACCGGACCTCCCATTGTCCATTATTATTCTTTCGGGTTTCAGATTAACCCTAACCTGTATAAGAACGGGCATGTTTGTTTGAGCTTGTTAAACAAGTGGAATGGCAAATATCTGTGCGAAAGGTAGAACCGTGACAAGTCAAACGTGCTTCAGGTTTGTTACAGTTCTTCTAATCTTTGTTTACGACAAAACACCAAACTCCTTTATTTATTGTCAAGGAATTAAAAGATTAAATCAAATATTTGATTGATTAATTAAATAACATATTTAATTATAATTTGATTATGATATTATCATATTAATAGAGTATATCGTATTTATAGTGTGTTTGGATGGGGGAAGTCGGAAGGGAAGGGAAGGAGAATGAGGGAAGATGAGTACTTTTTCTTATTTGGAATTATCCATATATTTTAATAGATGTGGAGAGATTGAGATGAAACCCCTCCACTCTTCTCCTTTTTATCCCTAAAAATATTTAAATTATTTAATTAAATAAAAATGTTATCTTTCCTTCACTTTTATCTATCCAAATAAAATTAATATTAATCCTCCTCCTCACTTCTTTTTTCCTTCCCCTTCCTTCCCTTTACTAATATTTCAATACAATTGATTTATTTCTATGTTTATCTATCCTAAAGTCCTCTCTCTCTACACATCTTTGATCTCTCAATCACAATAAAAATGTCATTTTTCCCAATTCTCTTGGCTCTCCATGCTTTAAACCTTAATATATATTATATGAGAATCTATATATATAGTCCGGACTAGCAAGAAAACATGCCAAATTGCTGACCCCTATAGGATTCAAAACATTAGAATGTGTTTTGCAATCTGGCTCAAGCCAAAAATGCAAATCATAAACTATTAAATGAGAAACAAACTTATTATACTCTAATGTTTCTAGTTTTTGTAGTCTGGATTATAAAACTGTGAACTTTTAAACATCTTCTTTCTCTCTCTATTTTTCTTTTTTCTTCAGGTTTTGCTGTCCCTTCAAGCACTGGTTCTCAACGAAAAGCCTTTCTTCAACGAGATTATCGTCTGCAACTTGCGGGGCAAATCCTTTTGGAACAAACAAGCTAGGGTTGACAACGCGGTAGTGTTCGCGACGTCTTGCAAGATTATGTTGCTACTGAGATGAGGAGACTCCCGAAGGATTTTGAAGACTTGGTTGAGGAGCACTTCCAAGGGCGAGCAAGTTTGATATTAGGTACATGTCAAGCTTTTATAAACGGAAGCTGTTATCCTAAAGAGGATTCTACTCCATCTGTATGCATGAAGATATCAGAAAAATCGAAGAGGTTGATGAAAAAGTTATATCCAGAGCCTGTTGCGGATTTTCTAGAATGGGAGCTTCTGTAGAGCATTCATCGAACAGTTGAATGAGAAGAAGAGACAGACTCAGAAACGCGGGGTTGCTAAGAAACTGTATGGGATATTAAAGAAGGCTTTCAGATTGAAAAAAAGCCAACATTGTCAAAAGGGGAGGTTTACTAAAGGAGGTTAAGGGAGACAAATCGGAATAATTATAAGTTCTAGGACACTCAAGGCTGGATTCTATTCTGTTTTTGTAGGTCGATTCTTTTTAAAGATTTCAAAGAAAGGAGGACATTTGTTTTTTGGGATTAAAATGAACACTACAATATTTGTTTAAGATTTTTTTTTTTTTTTTCATGAGTTCCACAATGCAGACAACTTTCTTCCATAAATTATTATACGTTTGGGTTGAGAGGAGAGAGTTACTTTTTCAATTAATTAAATTATGACGTTTTTAAATGTTGTATTATAACTGGGCCCTTCTCTTCTCTATTTCTTTCAAACTAAATACACTATTAACATATTCTTCTTAAATGCCATACGATTCGAATTTACAACATTTTATTTGCATGTTATATGATTTTTGAATTAAATGAAAATGATATACTTAAAAATGTCACATATATAAATTGTAAATTTATAATAATGATATGGAGCACAACAAGCATGCCTCAAGATAGAAAGACTCAATGATGCCCATTTGTGCTTTTGACTTCATACTGTATGAGGTGATACCAAAGCCGATAATTAAGGCAAATCAATTTGTAAATCTTTTACAAAAGTGTTGAATAAAAAATTAATACAAAATAATGTTAAAGTGTTAAAAATTGCTTAATATGAGTATATACTAAAAGAATTGGACTCTATTAGAAGCATTTTTCTTAGAAAATTAATTTTGTAAAAACTTTGCCAAATTATGGGATCGAAATCTTCTTCATTTTCACTCCTGTTTTTGGCTTTATGTAATATTTTTGGTTTGAGTAATGTTGAAGATCTAAGCCTCGGCATCAGCGGGGTGGGTGATTATCTGTGTTTCTAAGTGTAGATTAAAGGGTGTTTAGATAGAATTGGAGCATAGATATGCTAGCTTCCACAGAAATTTATGTGTGATTATTCACTATTTTCGTTTTAGTTATATCTGCTGTGTTGTGATTATCTACTCTTTTTTGTATTTATCTCCACTTGTACTTAATTATTTGTTTGTGTAGGAATGTAAGATCTTAATTTCTGGGATAAGACATTCCTTAATATTTGGAGATGTCATATAGCTCTGTATAAATAATAATCCCTCTATTCTATATCATCTATCATTTAAAGTTTTAAAAAATGAATAAAAAAAGAAATTAATAACCCTAAATTTAAGGAAAAAAAAACCTAAAAGAATAATTTAACCCTTTAAAAAAAAAGAAAAAAAAAAAACAAAAGAAACAAGGGAAGAAAATTTAACAAAAAAAGGGAAAATTGAAAAAAAAAAAAAAAAAAAAAAAACACAGATATCCTAAAATGTAAATTATTTAGAAACAAAAATTTCTTTCCACAACGACAGATAATGTGAAACAGAGAAACTAATATTGTATTTTAACTCAAAAAAATATTTTTGTAACAAAGAATTTCATTTCAAAAGTTGATCAAATAACGTGCCTGAGATGTAACAAGAACTACGAACAACTATACCCATGATTTCATAATTCGATTTTTCTTGCTAGTATGTAAAAAACTGGAAAAATGGATAAATTAGCCCCTTAAAACAATTATCATCAACAAATAAGCTCCCGATCAAATTTTGGTGGTAAATAAGTCCCGATGTGCAATCTATGGCAAATACATTCAAAGTAGATAAAGAGGGTCAGGTTCCTATCATATTCACTAATATGTTGTCCTTTATTTTCATCTTTGGCACATTTATTCTGAGCTTGTAATATTAAGAGCTTATTTGCACCACATAATAATGGCCATGTTCATGTGATCCTCGCTATTCACTTTAAACACATTTATTGCAGATTGAGACTTTAAGATTTGATTTGCAACCAAACTTTCATCGAGGGTTTATTCATCAATGAAAATTAATTTGAGGAGCTAATTTACATATTTTTCCCTACTTCTACTCATGAAATGCTCATTCCATCACCTCGATTACGGTTGCATATATGGTGATTCTTCTAAAACCAAAGCAGCTTACGTTCTAAGTCATTACAGAGCTGCTACCTCCGCAATTAGTTCATCAACTAATAACTGCTCGATTTCTCTACCTATGACGTCAATATCGTCTCCTGTGCCTAACCATTGTTTTTCCCATCCAAGCACCATTCCTATGGCATCCTTCTTCGCTTTCTTTTCCTGAACTGCCAGCAACCTGTGCAAGCTATCCTCGAGTCCTTGCTTGTTCCACTTTGAATGAATTCTTCTTGCAGGCTTCACCCATGGATGTTGATTGATGGATTGCTGGTAGATCTCCAGAAGCTTTGAGTTTATACGGTCAAACGTCAGTTTCCTTTCAGCCCTTGACCACGAAGTCAGATGACAGTACTTTTTCTCGAGTTCTTCAAATACAATGGGATTTACAGGGCAATCTGGAGAGTACCACGTCGCCATGAATGCATCAGGATCAGTACTGCTAATTCCAGAATCAATTAAGACATCAGATATGTATGAAAACTCCAAGTTCTCTTCAGCCCTTAATATTCCAGTATCGTCTACAATCTCAGAAGACACTTCATCAGTGTCATTATCACTAGAAAGTAGTGTAGATCCTTCTGCATATGCCATAGACTCCATTTTCAGTAGTTGAAGTTGCATCCGAAGCCCTGGCAACAGAAAGCAGATCAAAGGTTTTCAAGTAAAGAACAGAGTTCATATACAAATATGAGCTATTCATTATTCTAGAAAGAAACTAAACCACTTTAGTAACGAACTGGTGATGTTCAAGTGCTAGACAGGGATGATGTCACATTTGTAAAACCAAACATCATAAAGATAGGATCATTTCATTTCAAATGAAATGCTACCTGCCATACACGTTTTATCCAAATCCCAACCTAGAGTAACATGCAAAAACTTCAAAACAGATGGGAAGAACATTGAGTTACTCACACCCTCTTTCTATGTTATTGAATGTCCAAGATCATACCAGCAGGCACCAAATGAAGTGCATAACCTGATAATGATATACTTAGATGCCACTGGCTGTTGTTGTATTAAAACAAATTAACATTTTGTTTTACTTTTCATTTACCACTCAATTGAGCTACCATCTCTCTGGAGAAGAAACATTTTAATAGATATTCAAGAAAGTTCAATAATACCACAATTCACCAATGCGCCATGAAATAAAAACCCATCTCTTGCATTATGCAGATATATCATGACATTTCTTAACAGTGAAGAGAAGCTTTTTGCCAAGTATTGATCAAAATCTTGTATTTTTGAATATCCAAAAAACAAAGACTTGTATTTTTGCATTTGAAAATCCTTCTTAAAATGCTACAATCTGAATGGGGCAAAGTGCCAACAAATTCTATAATTAACCATACTTAAATAGCATTTTAACTTACCATGGATGTCAGCACTAAGACTCTCAAAGCACTCGGAACCAGATGAAAAATCATCTGCAAAAGGAGCCTCTAGAACTGAAACTGGACTAGGCTGATCTCCCTCCTTGGGGCCTGTGTAAGATTCAAGTTGGGGTTCAGGGTGATGTGATGGGGCTCCCTCATGTTGCCCATCCCGTATTTCCTGGAATATCATAAATATTGATGTTAGCATTTGTTAAGCTCTGTTTAAGAACATTCAAACAAATATGTTGTACAACTATGGCGAGGGGAAACCATAGACCCAATATGTTAATAGCATGTAGCAACATTATTCCATTCATTGATAAACCTAATTTTTGGATTTTCAGTCAGTTTTTGACGTAAGCAGTATGCTGCACCAATATGTATGTCAAACTTATAATTCTAAGTTTATTGTAGACCCTTTTTGATAGTCGTGGTGAGGGTAACTATGTGAAGCATCTAGACCTGTTTCTAAAAGTATGCTTAGATGATCTCAAAAGTAGTGACATGAAATTTGGAAGGTGAAACAACCACACGTATGAAATAAGTTACATTAAATCCTATTGCTACAAAAACATTTAAATTCAGAAAAAAAAAAAAGTCATGTTGAACCACCTTGTTTTAGAACTAGAATTAATGGTAGAGAATGGTAGAAAACCATTTGTTCCCTAACAAAATTTAAGATGCAGGAGAGAAATTATGATGGTTCTCTACCAAAGTTAAGGATGTGAGTTTTTTTTTTTTTTAATCATTAATATGATAATATAAAATTTAGGGAAAAAAAATGCCTTCTAAATGAACAAGAGAGGCAAATGACCAACTTTGACGTCCTGACTAAAAGGGACTAATAAAAGAATAAGTTTGCCATGATTTTAGAACTTATACAAGTGTACCTGGGAGGCCAAAGTATCTAGGTCACCAGCAGAAAAGTCACCATTTACCGAAGCTGATAATTCCAGATGACAAGGTCCAGAACACACAGCTGAATTCTGATTGTTGACATCCTCTTTCTCTTCATGAAGGGAACCTGTTGCGACACTACCAGCAAATGCTTCTGAAACCACAGGATTTTCTAAAGATTGCCCATCCCCTTCCAAATTACTCTTCACTGGAAAATCAGGTAAACCAACTTGTGATGGAGTATCATCCTTCCCCTCACTATTGTTAGTACTAAGAAATTGAGATTTTTTTATAGTGGCCTTTGAGTTCCTAGATGGTAAACCTTCCCTTTGAATGAAGGTCCCCTTTACTGCCTTGCTTCTGTCACGCTTTCTACTATCCTTTGGCATCACATATTTGTCACTACAAAGAACTTCCTGGCGCAAACTTGTTCTGGGATTTCCAAAATCAGCAGAACCTGGAAGAGATCTTGATCTTGATAGATTACTGAGACATCCATCCTTCCAACCGTCCTTGCTGCTAATACCCAAAGGTTCACCCCATAACGATGTTTCATTACTATGGCTGCATTCAGCCTTAATCATGCTAGTAAAACTTGCAGGCCTCACTTCACTGTCAGAGATGGCAAGCATTTCACCAAGTGTGCTGCCCCTGCTAGCAAGACATACCTCTTGAGACCTGTGAGTCATTCTCCACCTTTCTGAGAGTCTCTTCTTGGCCTCCCTACTGATAGATGATTCAGAAGAACGGGATGATGATAACCTATACTGGTAATTCCTGCCAAAGGTTTCTCTGGAAGTAACTGCTGTTACATCTGAATCATTTGCAGATTCACTTCCAGATACATCACATGAGCTTTCATCCCCTGCATATCCTTTAAACTTGGAGGTTGGAAATTTCAAAGAACTACTGCTTGAAATACTTCTCATTTTCCTAGTGATTTCTTTAGCAATCTCTCTAGAATCTTTAGAATTAGGCCTCAAAATCCCCAAATCACCATAAACGCTTTTCTTGCCCCATACTTCTACCTCCCTATTTTTGATACCCATAATCTCTGTGTGTTTTTTACAATCTGATGGCAGATGATGAGAAGAACTGGGTGATGAAGAAATTCTGGCAGCATTGTGTGGCTTCTCAAGGTTTGGCTTCAGAACAACAATCCTCGTGGGCAAAGAGACCAGCTCACTTTTCTCTTCAACTTGAACTTTAGATGACTTGGGGTGATTTTGAATAGCAAATGAGTGGTTTAAAATATCTGCTTGATGGTGCTGAGGAGATTTACTATGATTCTTCCATCGACTTTCTCTATCTGTTCTCTGGCCTAAGCTACTATTTTCATAGAGCAGAGTGCGTGATGACTTTATAGCTGATATGTGACCACAATGGGATTCAGGAGGGCCATTTTGCAGATCATGCAAATGCTTTGTGAATAATGAATCAGGTTGCTGAAGCAATTTCAGCAAAAGATCTTTGTTGGAGTCTAAAACCTCAAGGGCATCATCCAATTCCTTCAAATCCTGAAGCTTTTCATCAGTTGAAAGACGTTTAACATCCATGAACTTCTGCCAAATAAATGCCATCTCAGCCTCAGTACACTTTGAAATTCCAGTTCCCTGTGAGGAGTAACCAGCACTCTCCACCTTTTCTGAGTCTAAAACCTCAAAAACATCTTTGAACTCTTGTTCATCCCTGGAGTTCTTTCTAGAGGATGCCTGGCTGTAGAATGCGCAACTCTTTTGAGCTTTCTCTTGACCATTCTCAGCACTCCTGTTTTGTTGCTTTTGGCTGGGCTGCTGAGGTGGCAGACCATCAAGGCCCATCAATCTTGCAATAACATTTGGTGACCGTCTTCTGGATCCATTCTCTTTAGACATCTCTTCTGCTAATAGCTTTTTCATTGGCATACCAATTGATTTTCTTGAAGATCTCCCACTTAAATCAACCGTAAGCTGCAACACCAAATCCAGGATCCTCTATTAGACATCAAGAAATATTGATTTATATAAGAACAAAGCACTCAAATGGTAAAGCAAAACTAATAAAAACAAAACCAGCTCACCGAATCTTCTTCCCCTGTAATATAACTACTGGAGGAACTTGAAACAGATGCCAAATTTGCAAAGTTCCCCTGTTTCTTTCCTGGAAATGAATCGCTACAAAAGCATGAGTACAGCTGTTACAGGACTAAACAAAATGGAAGAGTTAAATTTCTCTTGAAATTAAGCTCAAATGGAATACAGGATTGCAGGTAGAAAATAGGCACAAAAACAAATAAAAATAACAGAATTCATGTAAATAAAAAAGTGAAAGTGCTAGTATAATAAATCAGGAAAAAAAAAAAAAACCTTCAAAATCCAGGAAACAAATTAAGCGACGCATTAAGGAGATACATTATCATTAATCAAAAAAGAAATACTCATCATGTTTACTAAATCAACGACAAGGAATGCGAAAAAAAGCGTCTCAAGACGGAAGAAAACATTATACTAAAAAGCAATCAGTTGTGAAGCGCAGCAATCAGAGGTTATCATAATCATGTAATTTTTAAAGAAACAAAAAGAATCATGCCGACACCACACAGTAGAAAAGTCACAAAGCATTTCAAAAACCTACTTTAACAAAAGCAGAGATAAAGCCCCTAAAATTTAAATTTTAAAAGATGAAAGAAAAATTTTTTTTTTAATCAATTCAAATCGTCTAGTTGAGAGAAGGGAAGGAAAAAGGAAAAGGACCTGATTTTCAAAACTTACATTGACTTTGGGCAAAGATTTGAATTGATTGAGTACAATGTACCAACCAGCTATCGTTGTTTTCAAAAGCAAAAATCGAAATTCGAAAGGCGAAATGAGATGTTTTACCTTCCCTTGCAAACTAGATTACCGGAATAACGAAGCTAGGGAGAAATACTGTGTTTGTTTCACGAGAAAATGCAGGAAAATAAGTTGAATTGGCTCACTCAACTTTTATGCCAAGCAAATTTGAAAGCATATGCGCAGAAATGAAGAAATATGTGGATTTAAACACTTCAATCTCCTTAGTTTTCCTCGGTTTTCTCGGCCACCAAACAGAGTGAAAATTTAGGTAAGAAAAATGAACCAGAAAAAGAAAGAGCCTGACCTCTAAGAGAAGCAGGAACCGTCAATGCAAGTAAATCGCTGGAGCTCCTATTTGCAGCTACGCCGGTAATGCTCTTTTCTCCTTTGCCGGAATGCATCCATTTACAGTCATTAAAACCGCAAAATTAACTCTAAATAAGGAGAGACAGAAATAAAAGGTGATCTAGAAGTCGGAAATCCCGGAAAAGGCAGGATAGTGGACCAAGGAAAGATCCGAGAAAATCATCAATCACTCCAAAATTGAAACCCTAGCTTCGTCGACAAACTCACACAGGCAGGGTCCGGGTCTAGATCCTAAACACAAAAATGGAGAAAGGAAACCATAGAATAGAGTAATTAGGTGCAGCCGGCGGTGGTCAAAAAGGGGGAAGTGAGAAAGCGAGAGAACGGCGGGCAATAAAGAGGTAGGAGGCAGAGGGGGTCCGTAAGAACCGCCGATGGAGACTGCAGAGTGGGGAGAAGAGAGAGGGAGTGGCTGATCCTGGTGAGAGTGATACTTTTTTTAAACTTTCAAAATGGGGAAGAACTGACACGGGACCTGAGGGCTCCGCGCGGGCAAGTGTTACTGAACTGTAGTAGTCCATGCCTCCGTGCCTTGTTCACCTCGTGTCACTTCATTACAGATATTACCTTTCCCTCTATTTTGGTTTCGAAAAAGTTGCAAGTTGCAAGTACAAACTTATAAAATAAATTATTA